GAGCACAAGACTCAGATATGCCCTGGATCAGAGATTATTATTATACAGTATTTATAAAGCGCCAATAGTTCGCTCAGCGCTGTACATTACAAAGGGGGACAGAACATGTGACAGAACAATACCAATACAAAACACGAAGGGATCAAGGGCCCTGCTCTTTTGAGCTTACAATCTAGGAGGGAGGGGATGGTGGTACAGGAGGAGATAGCTGTGGGGGATGGGGTGGTAGGAAGAGTGGAGGAGGTCAGCAAGTTAGCAGGGGGTGGGGTAGGCTTCCCTGAAGAGATGGGTTTTCAGGGTGCGCCTAAAGGAGAGGAGAGTAGGTGATAATCTGATGGGTTGGGGCAGAGATAGGGGACTCTTTGATAATAGGGGCTTTGATGTGATGGGGAGATTCTGATGTGATGGGGGAACTCTACCAAGGGAGTCCTCAGGGTTTTTTTTATTTATTTATTTCAGGTACTTATATAGCGCCGTCAATTTACGCAGCACTTTACATATATATTGTACATTCACATCAGTCCCTAACCCTCAAGGGGCGTACAATCTAGGGTCCCTAACCCTCAAGGGGCGTACAATCTAAGGTCCCTAACCCTCAAGGGGTGTACAATCTAAGGTCCCTAACCCTCAAGGGGTATACAATCTAAGGTCCCTAACCCTCAAGGGGTATACAATCTAAGGTCCCTAACCCTCAAGGGGCGTACAATCTAAGGTCCCTAGCTTACATTCATACACATACTAGGGCCAATTTAGACAGGAGCATATTAACCTACCAGCATGTCTTTGTAGTATGGGAGGAAACCGGAGTACCTGGAGGAAACCCACACAGGCACATGGAGAACATGCAAACTCCAGGCAGGGGGTGCCGTGGTTGGGATTTGAACCAACGACCCGAGCACTGCCAGGCGGAAGTGCTAACCATTTAGCCACTGTGCTGCCCAATGTGATGTGGGGCTCTCATATACAGGTGAAACTCAAAAAATTAGAATATGGTGCAAAAGTTCATTTATTTCAGTGCAGCAACTTAAAAGGTGAAACTAATATATGAGATAGACTCATTACATGCAAAGCAAGATAGTTCAAGCCGTGATTTGTCATCATTGTGATGATTATGGCTTACAGCTCATGAAAACACCAAATCCACAATCTCAGAAAATGAGAATATTCCATGCAATCAATAAAACACGGATTGTACATAGAACAATATTGGACCTCTGAAAAGTAGAAGCATGCATATGTACTCAGTACTTGGTTTGGGCCCCTTTTGCAGCAATTACTGCCTCAATGCGGCGTGGCATGGAAGCTATCAGCCTGTGGCACTGCTGAGGTGTTATGGAAGACCAGGATGCTTCAATAGCAGCCTTCAGCTCTTCTGCATTGTTCGGTCTCATGTCCCTCATCTTTCTCTTGGCAATGCCCCATAGATTCTCTATGGGGTTCAGGTCTGGCGAGTTTGCTGGCCAATCAAGCACAGTAATCCCACGGTCATTGAACCAGGTTTTGGTGCTTTTGGCAGTGTGGGAGGTGCCAAGTCCTGCTGGAAAAGGAAGTCAGCATCCCCATAAAGCTCGTCTGCAGAAGGAAGCATGAAGTGCTCCAAAATCTCCTGGTAGACGGCTGCATTGACCCTGGACTTAATGAAGCACAGTGGACCAACACCAGCAGATGACATGGCTCCCCAAATCAACACAGACTGTGGAAACTTCACACTGGACTTCAAGCATTTTGCAGTGTGTGCCTCTCCATTCTTCCTCCATACTCGGGGTCCTTGGGCCTCTCCATTCTTCCTCCATACTCTGGGTCCTTGGGCCTCTCCATTCTTCCTCCATACTCTGGGTCCTTGTGCCTCTCCATTCTTCCTCCATACTGGGGGTCCTTGGGCCTCTCCATTCTTCCTCCATACTCGGGGTCCTTGTGCCTCTCCATTCATCCTCCATACTCGGGGTCCTTGGGCCTCTCCATTCTTCCTCCATACTCTGGGTCCTTGGGCCTCTCCATTCTTCCTCCATACTCGGGATCCTTGGGCCTCTCCATTCTTCCTCCATACTCGGGGTCCTTGGGCCTCTCCATTCTTCCTCCATACTCGGGGTCCTTGTGCCTCTCCATTCATCCTCCATACTCGGGGTCCTTGGTTTCCAAATGAGATGCAAAAGTTGCTCTCACCAGAAAAGAGGACTTTGGACCACTGAGCAACAGACCAGGTCTGTTTTCCTTTAGCCCAGGTAAGACGCTTCTGATGTTTGTTGTTCAGGAGCAGCTTGACAAGAGGAATACGACATTTGAAGCCCATGTCCAGGATCCGTCTGTGTGTGGTGGCTCTTGATGCACTGACTCCAGCCTCAGTCCACTCCTTGTGAAAGTCCCCAACACTTTTGAATGGCCTTTTCCTGACAATCCTCTCCAGGCTGCGGTCATCTCTGCTGCTTGTGCACCTTTTTCTTCCACACTTTTCCCTTCCACATAACTTTCTATTAATGTGCTTTGATACAGCACTTTGGGAACATCCAACGTCTTCTGCAATTCCCTTTTGAGGCTTTCCCTCCTTATGGAGGGTGTCAATGATGGTGTCAGGTCAGCAGTCTTTCCCATGACTGTGATTCCTACTGAACCAGACTGAGAGACCATTTAAAGGCTCAGGAACCCTTTGCAGGTGTTATGGCTTAATTAGCTGATTAGAGTGGGACACTTTGAGCCGAGAATATTCCACCTTTTCACAATATTCTCATTTTCTGAGATTGTTGATTTGGGGTTTTCATGAGCTGTAAGCCATAATCATCACAATGATGACAAATCACGGCTTGAACTATCTTGCTTTGCATGTAATGAGTCTATCTCATATATTAGTGTCACCTTTTTAAGTTGCATTACTGAAATAAATAAACTTTTGCACCATATTGTAATTTTTTGAGTTTCACCTGTATAAAGGGCACTCTGATGTGATGGGGGAAGACTTTTATGTGATGGGAAGACACTGAAGTGATATGGAGACTGTCATGGGGGAACTCTGATGTGGGGCTCTCATGTATGGGGGGACTCTAATGTGATGCGGGAGATTCTTTCATGGGGGTACCCTTATGTGATAAGTGACTCTGATGTGATGGGGGGACACTGACTCTGTGATGGGGGAGTGGGTTTGTAGTGATGGGGACCTCTAATGTATAGGAGTGTTTTGATGTGATGAGAAGACTCTGATGTGATGGGAGGCTTCTGACTCTGTGATTGGGGGGACTCTGTGGTAATGGGGAGACTTTAATGTGAAGGGGAGGCTCTATCATGGGGGTTACTCCTGATGTGATGGGAGGCTTCTGACTCTGTGATTGGGGGACTCTGTGGTAATGGGGAGACTTTAATGTGAAGGGGAGGCTCTATCATGGGGGTTACTCCTGATGTGATGGGAGGCTTCTGACTCTGTGATTGGGGGACTCTGTGGTAATGGGGAAGAAGGTAGGCTCTATCATGGGGGTACTCTTGATATGAAGTGGGGCTCTAATGTATAAGTGGGAACTCTGATGTGATTTGGGGGTTCTCTGATGTGATGGGTGGCCTCTGACTGTGATGAGAGGACTTTGTGGTGATGGGGAACCTCTGATTTAGAGTTTACTTTGATGTGATGAGAAGACTCTGATGAGATTGGGGGATTCTCAAGATGTGCATGGCACTGAGCTGACATTTATTTACAATAGCACCCCAAAAGCACGTGTGCAGGAGCTGACAGCGCACCTTCAGTACAGCGCACCGCACTTCTTACAGCACGTTTTATGGTACCAGCCAGGGGCGGATTGACAACTCATGGGCCCCCGGGCAATAGGGGATCATGGGGCCCCTGTGTCCTTGCCCAAACTCAAAAAAGCCTATGAAAAAGGTACCAGGGGCATCTCATGGGGCCCCCTACTGACCCCGGGCCCTCGGTCAGTGCCCGAGTTTCCAAATGGTCAGTCCAGCCCTGGTACCAGCAATGCTGGCTATGCTTGTTTCAGGCATTAAGCTGCTCCTCGGGCTCATTACAAATGAATGGACTCGGCATTAACACACATGAATAAAGCCAAAGCATAGTGTGAATGGAACTCAAAAGCTTAAAAGAAAATCAAAACACCAGCAGTCCTTAGCTGTGCTCCACACCTGCTGTGCTGCATATCATCACTCCTTCATCACAGGTGCTCTTCAGGCACATCTCCATATACAACAGCTGGACAAGCATTCTTCTGCTGATTATAGGGGGTGGAGTAAGTAATGTATGGACTCTTCTCTGTGTGATAGCGCGGGGGATGGGGGGGATCTGAAATCCCTGTGTCTTTTTTGTGTAAATTAGAACAGCCCCTCCCCCTTTAGCTGACAAATTGCAGATAAAGTCAGAAAGGATCCTCCTAGACCAGGCCAGAGATTCTCACCCTTTGTACAGTTGCAGCACTCTTCAAAAGCGTGCGACATTTCCAGGAACCCCAATCTAAAATGTAAAGGAGATTTATCAAAGGGAAACCTGAGCCCGCGATGATGCGCACAACAGTCTTGCTTAAATTAAACACATCAGAGGCCCCTCCCTATCTCATCAGAGGTTTCCCCCCCCCCCCGTCACATCAGAGGCCCCTCCCCATCCCATCAGAGGTCCCTCCACTCATATCAGAGACCCCCGTCACATCAGAGGCCCCCCATCACATAAGAGGTCCCCCCCCGTCACATCAGAAGCCCCTCATCATCCCATCAGAGGCCACCCATCAAATCAAACCAGAGGCCCCTCCCCATCACATCAGAGGATCTTCATTACATCAGAGGTCCTCTCTTCACATCAGAGATCTCCCATCACATTAGAGACCCCCTTTCCACATCAGAGGCCCCTCATCACATCAGAGGCCCCCATCACATCAGAGGTCCTCCCTATCACATCAGAGGTCCTCCATCACATCAGAGGCCCCCCATCACATCAGAGGCCCCGGACCCTGCATTCGCTATATCCGATCTCCCTGGACCCTGCATTCACTATATCCTCTCTCCCCGGACCCTGCATTCACTATATCTGCTCTCCCCGGACCCTCCCAGGACCCTGCATTCACTATATCTGGTCTCCCCAGACTCTGCACTCACTATATCCGGTCTCCCCGGACCCTGCCTTCACTATATCCGCTCTCCCCACCCTGACTCTGCACTCACTATATCCGGTCTCCCCGGACCCTGCCTTCACTATATCTGGTCTCCCCGGACCCTGCATTCACTATATCCGGTCTTCTCAGACCCTGCATTCACTATATCCGCTCTTCTCAGACCCTGCATTCACTATATCCGGTCTCCCTGGACCCTGCATTCACTATATCCGCTCTCCCCGGACCCTGCATTCACTATATCCGGTCTCCCAGGACCCTGCATTCACTATATCCGGTCTCCCAGGACCCTGCATTCACTATATCCGGTCTCCCCGGACCCTGCATTCACTATATCTGGTCTCCCACAATACACACAACATGGAAGTGCAATTATTTTAGTAAATATAAACTGCTAAATACATTTTCTCATCAGCAGTATATAGCAGTCTTGTGCCTTCTATCAGTGTCATGACAGTACTGATTGGCCCTCTGCTGATCACATGCATTCTCCCAAGAAAAAAAAACACTCTAGCAATACACACCAAACTGAGCATGTGCACAGTGACTGCACACAATATGTCATATCAGGAGGTACGAGGGGGACACTGGAAGAAGTGGAGGATCAGAGAAGACAGGATCAAACAGCCTTTTTACACAATGCAGATGATTAACCCCTTAGGTTCCACAGTGAGTATAACAAGCAAGCTTTACTGCATCTACAGACTGATTGTACTGTTGTGGGTTTAGTAACACTTTAAGTGGATTCTGTAAATTGATAAAATACAGCTGATGGAAGGGATTACTAACCTTCAAAGGGCTGAATAAGACACATATTATGAAACATGGACAAAGTGGCTACATTTTAAAACCTCTAGGTCTGTAACAGATACAATCCCAGATCCTATTGTTAAGTGAAACAATAGATCAGATAAGAAAATAAAGAAGAGTGGAGTCTGGATCAACACCTCAATGCTTCCTCAAACATACCGTCCCAGAGAACTAAAAATCAATAGCACCCACCATCAATTAAGGGACTTTAACCCTAGGTTCACATCTGTGCGGGTGGTACCGCTGTGGATCCGCACGAAAATCCGTGCAGCCGCACCACCCACACAGAGGAATGTGGACCCACGAGTGGGTGCCATTAGTTCTAATGTCACGCCGCCCGCACTGAAAAAAGCAACCGTACTGGGAACCTCGGCTGCGTTTTCCAAAGAAGTGCAGGGACTTCTTCCCTGCATGTCAGGGCACAGGAGTCCATTCAAATGAATGGGCTGTCATGCCCATGCAAAACGTGGCCCGCATGGCCACATAGATGTGAACCGGGGGTAAATGTATGGATAAGTTTGTCTATATCCATGTGAATGGTGTTCGATCTTTTATCTCTTCTTTATTTCTTTTAGAACCCCGTTTAAGCCCCCCCCCCCCCGTTCACACTATAACTCGCATGTGAATTGCACAGGAACCACACCACATTCCTGTACAATTCAGGGGGTTGCAATTTGAGCCCCTTCATTTTGAATGGGCTCAAATCGCACCATATCACACCAAAGACGCGCAGGCACCTTTTTTTGGAGCCACACTGCACCTGGATCGTGTGTGGTCGTTTTGTACCATGTGATCTGCTGCAGGCAAACAGCACTACGTTTGCGATCCATTTGGGGTGTCATTAACTTTGTATTGACACCCGCATCAGATCGCAAACACAGTGCAAAGAAGAATTCCAGGTATGGATATTTTTTACATAAATATGGATTCTCCAAACACCTACTTCACACACTGCGATTCCTCCTGCTGGCTTTTTCTTCCTCTAGTGATGTATGAACCAACAGGAGGAGCAGATATTTGACACACCCGGAAGTGTCAGATACATGCAGTCGCTGGAAAGCAGCAGGCCTCCAAAAAGGTAACATTTTAAATCTTAAAGGATAATTCTAGGCATGGCTATATTATACACAGTTACATTGGTCCTCCTAGGACCAATGTAAATACTATACCTGGCCAATCCCCCTGGAAGCTGGAAATGATTGAAGTAGGCACCGCTGCTTGTCCACTTGCTTCTGGGTTCAGTGCTGAGCGGCTGCCTTGCTACATTCTGAACACAGGAGATTGGCCTCTTGGCATGGGCACAATTCCGAGAATGTCTATTCATACCTGGAATTCTTCTTTAAGTATTTGTGACAAGGTATGTACAACGTATATGCATTTTGGATGTTGGATATCATGTATGTCGTGTACTGGGTTGTAGAGTCTGACGTGAAGAGGGACACCTCTCTTACGGCTCCGGCTCAGGGACCACTGTTAGTGAGAAAATGGCCTCAAGACTACAGTGAGGTTTAAGTGCCTGTAAGGTGTCCAGCAGACTGCGCAGGTAGGTAACTGGTGCTTTGCCAGGAATGGACCAGATGGCCAGGACAGTAGATGGCAAACACGCAGCAGACCCTGAACTGGCAGATGGCAGACACGTGGCTGGCAGATGATGGTCTGCTGGTGCAGAGCAGACTGGCAGAGCCCAGGTAAGTAACTCAACAAAGTGCTATCAACTGGTAATTTGCTGCCTCTTTTTTTATTGATGTCTATTTTTTGCTTTGTATAATTTTGTATACATTGTTATGCTTTATTTGCATTTTCATTGTTAATTGGTTGTATATTTTTGATTCCACTGTAGGCATTGTTGCTCAGTTTTTCCACTTTCCCTGAAGAAGTGGGTCACATCCCACGAAACGCGTCGGATCTTTTGATTGCTTATCCAGTTTTGGATTCAATTTTATGGAAAAGCATTGTTTCAGCAGTTTGATGATGATTCATTCTTTTGATGGTATTAATAGAGTTTTAGGACTCTAACCCGGGACGCTCTCACGTCCCGAGCCAGAGTCTTTGCCCACTATTATCTCTTTATATTTTTCTTGACTCATTATGTATGTGCCTACGTTGGCGTTTGTCTTGTTACCACTCTGTGTGTTTTTTTTTATAAATGTCGTAATAAAACATGCTCTATTTTATTCAATATTGTTTATGATTATGCATCTTTATACCCATAATGGTTGGTACCTTAACCCCCGTGGCGGTATTCCCGAGTGTAGCTCGGGGAAAAGTTTCAGCATCACAAACGGTAACCCCGAGCTACACTCAGGAATACCTTGTAACGTTGCTCCGGGATCCCTTCTGCACTTACCTTGTCCTGCGCTCCCGCGATGTCCCCCCTGCAATATCCCCGGCAATATCCTCCGGCCGATGCCGGCATCTGTCTTCCGGGTTCCATTCCCTGCGAGCGTCGGGACGTACGGGGGACGGAACTGGCGGGAAATGTAAAAATGTCAAAAAGTGACATTCACTAAATACACTAAAATCACATAGTATAACATTCCTGTATGCAACCATTTCACATACAGTTTGTCCCGAGTGCTTTGTCCGGCGTCCTGCCTTCATTTTTACTGTTCTTTCTGCCTGGAAACTGAGAAAAGTCCATGGCGTCCAAAAAGCGTCCCTTTAGGTCAAAAGCGGTTTTAGACCGGCTAGAGAACAGCGATAGTAAATCAGAACCACTTGCAGAATTGAGTGATAATGATTCGTGGGGAAAATTCATCATCAGACACTGAAAACGATTTTGCGACTTTGCTCAGTGATGTGCGAACTTGGCGCTCTATTTCACATTTCAGTGTTTTTGGTTTGATTATATTATTGAATTAAATTTATTATTATTATATTATTTTTTTTTTATAATTATTTATTCATAATTATAATTTATGATTTTGTGTTTAAACTTTTATCATACCCGGGATGTTTACTAGACTCTTGTTCGGACAGATTTCAGTGAGTTATTCCTAAAAATTACAGGCCTACAATAAAAAAACAACATATTTCCATGCAAAAAAATGTACCGCTTTGAGCACAGAAATACTGACATAATCAGACCGCTAGGGAGGCTACAAGCCCCATTATTTTCTCCTATTAGGGTTTATTTTCTTCCCAGGTACGTAGCGTGCTGGTCAGGAGCAGGGGCGGACTGACCATTTGGAAACTTGGGCACTGCCCAAGGGCCGGGGGTCAGTAGGGGGCTCCATGAGATGCCCCTGGTACCTTTTTCATAGGCTTTTTTGAGTTTGGGCAAGGACACAGGGGCCCCATGAGTTGTCAGTCTGCCCCTGGTCAGGAGGCACTGGACAGACAGGATGCGAGGTCAGGCAAACTGGGTCGGAATAGATGGTCAGATCAGGCATAGATGGCAGACAGCTGAATACAGGTCAAAACTCAACAGGCGACTTCCAGTTTTGTAGAGTTTCTACCCCTCCTCCACCCAACATCCCTATTCCCTGACCACCACCACCATTATGTTCCCACCACTATTGCTATAAAATGTATAATATTTATTATTACTATAAAGGATTTATATTGCGCCAACAGTTTGCTCAGCGCTTTACAATATATAACGGGAGACAATACAGCAACAATACAGTCCAACACAAGGAGGGATAGGAGGGCCCTGCTCCTCGGAGCTTACAATCTAGGAGGGAGGGGCTAGTGGTACAAAAGGTAGTTACTGTGGGGGATGGACTGGTAGGAAGAGTAGAAGATTCCATTATTAGCTGACGGCAGGATAGGTTTCCCTGAAGAGATAGGTTTTCAGAGATTGCCTAAAAATGAGCAGAGTAGGCGATAGTCTGATAAACTGGGGTAGAGAGTTTCCAGAGGATGGGGGAAGCTCTGGAGAAGTCCTGGAGAAGAGCATGGGAATAGGAGACAAGGGAGCTAGAGAGTAGGAGGTTGTGCAAGGAGCGGAGAGTACGGTTTGGGTGATATTTGGAGACAAGATCGGTGATGTAATTTGAAGGACTGTTTTCCTTTGTTGTTCCAGGACACTTATTAATGCCATTTAACTTCATTATTCCACACAAGTAGATGTAGAGAATACCTGTACAATGGTGTACCACATTATGAATGTTGTATCGGTATATGCACTGCTGATGACACTTGTCCTGATTCTTTGATTAAACTTTAACTAAAATAAAAAGAATGCTTCTAGTATGAAGCTGAATTTCCTTGGCATCCTTGTCCTTGGTCACCTCGCACAAATGGCAACCATCACTCAGCACAAGACACTCAAGGAAACTTTGTAAGATGCAGAATCGGTAACAAGAGAACGCCAAGAGCCGATAATAGCCGATTCTGACACCGCGAGGACATTACATTTGATACAAATCACACACCATGCCACAAAAGAAAGTGTTACTTCCTCTTCATTTTCAGCGGGGAAACTCCAATATAAGGTAGTTGACCGGCCAAGACTTTTCACTTTCCTGCGAAATGGGAGGGTGAGGTCAATGAAATTTCCCGACAAAGTGTCAAATCTAAACTTAGAACATCCTATTTTTAATTTCTGTTTTACGGGAATGAAAAAAATGGGTAAAGTAAAAAC